TACACAAGGCAAATAGTAAGATTTGCTCATTTGCCAGGTATTAGCAGCATAATTGGCCATTACTGACACCACTGATGACCAATCAAAACCTCCAGTTGTGACCAGCATTTTAAACAAATATAAGAGGATAAAAAAATGTCCCACCAGCGGTGCTTTAATATCATCCATTTCACAACTTTTCTAGGTTAAGCAAGTGTATTAAGATGTCTAAAGAAAATTATATTTTTGCAGCTAATACTTCAAGTGTTCATTTTCGTATGGTCAAATTCTATTTATAAAACTATTATGAATGTTTATTTTGTTGCAATCACTAAGAAGTGATTAAATCTTGAATGATTCAGCCATTTAAAAGATATTTTGTATTGTGTCAAAAAGACTCAAACCCAAACAAAACAGAGCCTTGCATCTTTACCTGCATAATCTAAAATCCTGCCAGAGCAATTCAGAAATATCTTCTCCTACAGAAAAATTCAAAGCAAAATGAGAAGAGTGTGATAAGATAGAGACAAAGTCTTTTATGGTGTCTTTCATATCAAATACAAAACATTTTAGTTTTTACTAACTTCATTCTTTTGTCAACATTCAGTTGAAATCTATTATACTAAGTTAGCTCATCACTGAATTCTGAAGCAAAATTTGAGAGGCTGCCTTCAAAACAAAATCCCCAAAAATATCCTTCTGCAAGTCCTTGGTAAAAAATTATGCAGCATTTCACCTGTCTCAAAAACAGATCTATTATACAAAAAAAGTTGGCAGTAACTCTAGATCTTGAACTTCTGTTTCTTAAATCATTGATTTTCTCCAGTACTGAAGAGAGCAGAGTGCTCCCTAGAGTGTTTTGTAACAAGAGCCCCTAACAGGAAGCTAATAGAAAACATTCAGGAGATTAAACTAGGTTCTCAGCAAGTGTAAAAGTCATCAGACTACAGCATCAACTTGATTCAGTTGATCTCAATGAAGAATTTAGTAAAGTTTTTAGAAACCCCAAATTTCTTCTTGGAGAGAGTTCATTTTGCCTATACTGGCAGATTCTAATAATGGCAAAATTTGAGGGAGTAGCAGCAATACCATAGATCAAGAGAAGAAAAACTGTGGTTGTATAGAGTAGCACAAAATCTGAGCAAAGACTACATAATATATCATTATTCTTATATCACTCAGACTCTCTGAAGTAGAAAGGGACCTTGTCCAAACACACTGTGCCCAATCAGGGCTGCCTAGAGCACTATTTCTGTCCAATTGTCAAAGATAATATTCAAAAGAAGCAAAATGCAGGGCTTTAGCCACTCGGTTTTCTAGGATGAGCAAAAGGAAAAGAACAAATTCAGAAGCTGTGACATTAAATTTCAACACGACTGCAATCCTCCACAGTCTGGATTTATGACTTTGCTTCATCTTTAGATGAATAGACAACTCAGAGACGATAGATATTATCTGAACTACTCATGCCTGGATTTTGACTTCAGAGTCAGAAGCATTTGCTTTTAATATAATTTACAGCAGCATGGCTAAGATCACCTAAAAGTCTCTGCCTTCTTAGTGGTCACAGTACAGTGCAGATTCAGTGGGTATATAGGGTAGGAAGCCAAAGCATTCCAGTTGCACTGATAGCCCATTTTTTTTTTAAATTTTTATAATGAAGGGCTTGAACACAGAATAAAAAAACTCCCTTTGCATTTTATACACTTTTATATTGAGTTACCTTGCAGTTTTATCCTCATGTATCTTAAATAAAGAATGTAAATTATTTTGACCTATCTCAGTAATGAATGAACGTCAAATGAAAAGAGAAACTCAAAATGTATCTCCACATTACCAGTCTCAAAATGGTGCCTAGAGTGGTCACTGAAATATGGAGGGAAGAAAGTGAAAGGCACATTCAAGACCTAAGTTTAACTGATACATGTAGCAGTCACATTAAGTTTTGGTCTACCTTTAAGGAAGCAACTAAAAATACTTACATTTTATAACTGAGTATGACAGTAATTATAGACCTGCCTTAAAAACCATTGGATTGATCTGTGTTGGCTTTTGTCTGTAGACAATGACATAGTATTTTTCATTGGTGTTTCAAAAATTGAAAAGGGTTAAAACTTGTTCATAGCATTTGAACAAGACTTTAGAGTCAAGGCTGAACAAAAATTAAAAGGGATCCAGTGAACTAAAGTTACTTGCTAAAATCTGCCAAGTTTTTAAATATTTTAGAAGAAATGAGCTCTTTGTTTAAATCATAATAGGTTATGAGTTTCCTTAAAGAATTACATGTATTTTTGCAGCAGAGGGCTCTTTTGTCTTCAGAGCCTTGGCAAGTCTGAAGCCAGTCTGCATCCTTGCAAATTTTTCCTCTCTCTAGAGGAAAGAAAGAGAAGATGATGCCACAAATCACTTGCTAGCCCCAAACAAAGAATCCAGAACTATCAAAGCGCAAGCAATCCTCGGTTCACACCGCTTTCTGTCAGCACAGGGCATAAAAGCATCTTTGGTCCTATGTTTTGATAACAGAAATGAGTACCTTGTCATGCTTTAAATCACTGCTGAAAGATTTCTTGAGTGAACGTGACAGTATTTGAAATGCCCCATGCTGCTACACTTAAGATTTGCCAATCAGAATTAATAGCAACAGATTTACTGTTCCAAAACAAATCAAAAGCTGCAGTTTTTCAGCTGAATGAAGAGCTGGTGAATGAAAACAGAGGCAAAATCACCACAATAGCCAGTTACCCTGTCAATGAAAATAATTTTAATTTGTCTGTATTCACAAGGATTAGTAAACAATAACACTTCAGCTAATAGAGTTTTTGTTATATTCAAATTGAATGTGAAATACAGGCTGACATTATAAATGGATCCCTTACTCTTATACACTGCATTTCTGAGTTCATTTGAGTCTTTATGTCTATATCAGACAGTAAGTGTCATGTATTTTGGTATAAATTCTTTTCAATGTGCTTCATTTTTCCTTCTAGCTTATTCAGGACAGTTCTGCTTGTTGTCTGAAGGAGAACAAAGCTATAGATACATGTCTATAGCTTTCTCTCACTCAGTAGGAACCAAGTGAATATTTTACATTATTCTGGTGAATTCTGTAAAGTTGTGTTGAAAATCTATATGGTAGAGTGATAAGGTGTCTCTCTGTAAATAATCCCTCCCACCTTCCCAGTTCTGTGAATTTCTTCTTCTGAAGTTGCACAACAGTTTTGGTGCCCCCAGATGCTTAGTACCACCAGCATTTGGTTTTACTGAGTTGCACCTCATGTGTGACATTTGTTTCCACAGGGAGTGGATGCAGATTGCTCAAATAAATTCCTTTTCTTTCTTTCCTTCCTTCCCCCTCCCCCCTGCCTTCCCCCCCTACTGAATTCTGCTATTTTTGCCACCTGGTCCTCTTTCTTTACATCTAAGTTCTTTGTCAATTTCATGCTGAATACAAGGTTTCTCTCTGAGCCCTCCTTAAACACCCATTTTCATTGATTGGTCAAAAAATCTGTTAGCTAAGTTTAAGCTAACAGAGCATCTATCCAAGGGCTCCCTTGTGGGCTACTCCTCTGGACCTATAAGTTAGGAAATTTCAGGAAATCAGGCAACACAAGCTTCCTTGAATAAACATGAGGCAAACAATTCATGTAACAATTGTTCAGACTCAGGTGTGTTAAACCAGTTGTGCCTCCTCTGAACCTTAGCTGGGAAGTCTCCTACAGAGCTTTTAGGGACTCCTTTTGGGAGTACAGCAAGGATGCTCAGGCTAATAAACTTGTGTGGAATGATTCACATTCAACACAAGTGATAATTTTAAAAGAAATGTCTCCACGTTTTTAAAATCACATGGAATGTCTCAGCTTAAGTTTAAGCTTTTCTTTTTTTTTTTTTTTGTATAGTGACATTTTAGCTTTTTTTTTCCCCATTCTAGGAGTTTCATAATTGTCTTTCATGGATTCCATTAGCTTTTATGGAAGTCATCTGATTGTTTTGAAAAAAGAATAATGTAATGCTAAATCACATGTTGCCAGTGTTGCATAAATATGACACCTTTACCTACAGTGTTCCCTCCAAATTCAGGTTAAAATACAAAGAACAGTGTGTGGGTTTGGGGCCTAGTGGCCATGGCTCTTTGTAGAGCAGATGCTCTGTGAAATTAAAACAGGTGTACCTGCAGTGCCAGCAGTGACTGAGGAGCAATTACATGGATAAGCAAGAAGGCGTTCATTCTGTTTTGTTGTCGAGTGTTATTATCTAAACCCCCCTTGCTCTTATGTTAAGCTGTGTTTTCTTACTCCACTTTGCATTACAACCTCAACTTGTAGACCAGAATTCTAAGCAGCATGTACCCAGCCAGGATCTGCATTCCCTGACATCTTTAGGATGCATGGCTAAAACTCTGCCAGAAGAGCTAGAAGAGTGAAGGACTTGGGAATATAAGCAGAATTGAGGACCAGCCTGGGCTACACCAGATGGTAGATGGGATTGAGAAAGCAGTCAGGAAGGCCAGAGAAGCTTGAATCTAAACATTATATAGGAAAATTGAAATAAATCAGAGGAGAGAGGAAAGAATATCAGACATAGTAAGATCGTTCAGCACTGCAGACTAGTCTAAACTTAGTTCAAAATCCAAATCCCAGCATTCTCTGTCTGACCACGTAAGAACTTCATAATAGTTGATAATATAGAATAATTCTCCAGCAACTGATGAGCAATGCTTTTTTCCCCTCAGAGGAAAATCACCTTTCTGTAATAACAAAACAAATCACAAGCTAGCGCATGGTGCTCTGAACTTCTCAGGATTCCCATACAGGGCAGCCAAATATCCTGGAAATCTTTTAGCACAAGGCTTTCCAGTGGTCCCAGTTCCTTGTGGGCTGTGTGAGGGAGGCAGGGGAGAGGAAGGTCTCTACAGCAATGGGGAGGATATAGAGATTTTATATAACCAATATATAAAATAGGTTATATATTTTATAATAAATATAACCTCCCTCTATAATAATATAACTCCCTCTGTCTCTTACCTTGTTGCACAAAGGATCCATAGACAAACCACATGGAGTTGTAGAGAGTTGTAGACGTCATGGATCCCATCTGAAGGCGCGGGGGGTTGAGCCAGTTCAAGAGGTAGACCAGGAGCCCCACTAAGAGCACTGTGCCAGCAATGCAGGCCCACAGGGAGAGGTCAAACGGGGCCAGGCAGGCAAACATGTCCACTGTCTTCTCTGCCTTCCGCAGCAGCACGCCCACCGAGTAGTCCATGTAACGTGTTGTGAAGTCCACCACGTTCTCCCTGTCCGGGGTGATGGTTAGGGCAGAGATCCCGATGTCAGCTCTCTGAGGAGAGGAAGGAAAAAAACCCTGTAAGTAGGAGCTACGAAAAAGGTCGTAAAAAGTCAAAAAAGTTCCTCTGTGATTTACAGCAGCTAAGTTTAAGGAGAATCAGATGTCTAGACCAAAGTCTTCAGCATCACACATGTGAGCACAGAAAGGTGACTAAGGCTTGAGCAGGGTAGATCAACCACGTGTTTTAGTTTCTGCAAGCAAACCTCACTTGGTGGACTTTGGCACATCAGCTCTCCTTGTTGTTGTTTTCCAAGAAACCAAAATACTACAAATACAGGTAATATCAGCAGGAAATCTACTTCTGGTCATTTTTGTCACCCTGGCTTACTAAAGCCATTGCTGCCATTGCGGCAAAAGTCAAATTTTGTGCATAGCATATCCAATCATAGGAAATTAGTTGCCTGACAGACCCAAATTTATAAACTATTTTCATGATTTGATGATCATGACAAAGGGCTACTACCCTAGGAGCACCTGAAATTCCATAAAACATCAATTTTATCTGCAGAGTCTAAAGTGCAGAAGGGCGGATTCTGCACGCAGCTCCTTTACAATTAATTCCTCTGTCCTCCTGATAAGGAATTCCTCCAGCAATGCCAACCTGTCCAGCAGCTAGCCTGGACTTGCTTTGTGCCATTTCCATTTTTCCTTTTTCGTAATTTAAAGAACACATTTTGGATGAAAAGAGGATGAGTAACATTTCTTGATCTAATCCTTGTACTTCACAGTATGTATTAGGTCTCCAGGGACAACAGGCACAAGTACAGCAGGTGCTACTTTACTTTTTGCAGGTACAACTAGAGCTTCACTGAAAACAAGGAAGGTTATTTAAAGCAGACATATGAATACCATTTTTAAAAGGCCAAATACTGAGAAATAAGACTGTGAATTCTAGATGTTTTAATATGACAAAAGAGTACTGAAAATATTTAAACTTCTACTACCTTGACTTAATCCATTTTTGTTCTGCCTAAAGCAGTGTGTGATCCTTTGGAAGGGGGTGAGGAGAGCACAAGAAATTGAGAGTACTCAGTAAAATTTTGTTAACTCTGTTGAATTTCTTTCTTCTTGCCCAAAGAAGGCAGAGATTCCTAGTTCCTTGGATATTTGATTTGAAATATTGAGTGGGAAGGTACGGCAGCTGAAACTGACTAGAAAATTTTGTAACTCAACTGGGCTCTTTTAATATGATGCGCAAAGCACTCTGCAGCTCATGGCACAAGCACACTTAGTTTAAATGATGCCACTTTATGTTGATTATTCACTGGCTTGAGAAAGTGGCAAAACCTAGCTGGAAGCCTGATGATTTGGACAAAAAAGGGTTTGAAAATATTGATTTTCTTAAAAGCTATGAAATAGAGCTTCAGCTTTAACTTGTGTGTTAAAATCTCCGGTGTCATAAGTGAAGTTGTGTTGATGAGCACAGCTAAAAGCATGGCTTCATGAATTCACTTCAGGTCCCTTCCTAACAAATTTTTGTGAGTGTTGATTCAACTGCCCTTTGCCCATGGGCAGCAGCAAACTCAGTCAGTAATTAGAAATATCCATGGAAATGTTCAGGTTATCTGAGTCTCTCTATCCTCTCATTACAAACCTTCTCCTCAACGAGAGACTCAAGTGATTCACAGCATCTGCTGACAGTCAAGCCCTAACTTCAATAAGCAAGATGCAAACCAGCCAGCACTTGAACTGTTTTCCACAACTGTGAACATAAATATGTTTCTAAAACAATTTACAAATATGAAAGCCCAACATTTGTCACACAGGAAATTATGACTGTATTTAATGAATAGCATAGATTTGAGGCTTTTCCCCTGAATGTATATCAAAAAGCAAAATAGGAATTTATGGGTAAAGCAGGACATGTGGGAAAAAAGAGTCCTAGACTCAAGCCTCTGTTTATTAATTTAGCTGGGTTATTAATTAATAGCATACTACTAAAATACTTCCCTACCATGCTAGATCATTGAGTTTCTCATTCAAATTGCATTGCTGTAAGATGTTTAAAGGTTCTCTACTAAAAAGCAACATACACCAGTAAAGATAGTTTCACCAAATAATAGTCAACTGCATGACTAATAGAATCTTTGCCTGCTTTTCCTCCCCTTTTTACAGCAAAACAGGTTTTTTCCATTACATACGTAGAAGAGAATTAAAGAAAAAAAATGAGACACTATGGTATATGTGAAAATACTACTTCTAATTTGCATCTCTGGGAAGCAGTCTCTCCATATTCCCCAGAATTCTGGTTCCACTCCAGTTATCAACCAACTATGACAGTGGAGCGACATTATGCAAATGGAAATGTTGCATTTCCTTTGTTGTACTGCAGCAACAATTGTGATAAAATTATGTCTTGCTACTTTATATACTACATATATAATTAAGGCTTCGAGGTGACCTAACTGCAGCCTTCCAGTACCTGAAGGGAGCCTGCAGGAAAGATGGAGAGAGACTTTTTCACAATGGCCTGGAGTCACAGGATGGGGGGAAATGTCTTCAGACTGAAAGGGAGTAGGCTTAGCTTAGCTATTAGAAAGAAATTCTTTATTATCAAGGTGGTGAGACACTGGAACAGGTTGCCCAGAGAAGCTGTGGATGCCCCATTCCTGGAAGTGTTCAAGGAAGGGCTCTGAGCAACCAGATCTAGTGAAAGATGTCCTGCCCATGGCCATGGGGTTGGAACTAGATGATCTTTAAGCCATTAAATATTCTATGTGTCTTTATTTCTTGAGAGGTAGTAAAGTGAAAAACAGAAAGGAGAGCAGTATATCCGGACTTCTTTAGCACCCTAGTGTTAAGCTGTTTTAAAAAAAAAAAGCTACACTGAAATATGGCAACTCATATTCTTAACTTACTAAATTGGATCATAAACACCAGTTTCCCAGAAAACTACACTTTTAGCACCAAACCAAGTTTAAGCTTCACTTGATACTTGATTTACTGATAGTGAGCATCCTTGATTACATATAGATTCTGTCATCTTGTTTCAAAGCTGGAAGATGAAAAAATTTAAATGCCTGTCATTAACATGTCAGATTGGATCAGAGAAGACATCAGTTTGAAGAAGTAAAGGTTCACTTAGTGCTTTTGAGATAGAAAGGCAAATGCACGCAATTATGTCAATATTTAGATATAAAGCTGCCAATCTGAATTATAAACATGTATAGAGCTCCACTAAGTTTTTGGAGTGCCAAAATCAAGCAACCATCATATGTCTTACACGTTTCTCATGAATGAAACTGTGACTCCTGAAACAGATTGAAAAAACAGCAGAGGGCATTATTTTGCTCTGTGTGACCTGCATAGGAATTTATATTTATCTTCCTTAGCAGCAGTTCGCCTGAGGCCACTGTAGAGCAACACAACCAGAATGAGAAAATCCAAAAGAAATGACCAAAGGGGCCTGATAGCATTCCTACTGGTGTCACAGAACCAGCTTATCAGCAAAGCTAGAAATCCCTGAAATGTCTCTAAGCCACTGCTGTAGCAAGCACATCTCATACACATGGAAAGCAATCTTCTGACAATTCCTGTGGTTCATGATCAAGAACAGGGAAAATAAATGAATCTGTTTTAAACTGGTCCTGTGAGAGCCTTCATTGAATCCATTTTCAATGCTAAATCAAGTCTCAACAAATGCTAGAAGTGATAAAACGCAGTCCCATGTTATGCAGTTATTAACATGGACATACAAAAACCAATCAGAGAGACATTTTCACTCAACACACATAGATCCAAATAATTCTCCTTTTACTCAGCTATTATTTTTTCTTCTCACTTCTTATACTACCCCCCTTAAGAAGGTGCAATAGAAAAAGAGCCTCATAAGAGGCTTTTGCTTGATTTGCAGTTTCTCTTAGAAATGATTAAGCATATACTTTTCATTTTCTGATGGACCTAAGTGGAATCAGGCTGTCTTCCCTATGCCATTTGCTTCCTCATGGCTCCTCACTGGAAAAAAATTGTCACAATCAAGGTGGTATGGTGAGATGTGAAAAGCAATTGTTGATGGATGTGAATATCGCCAGAAAGCCCAGAGTTGTGCTGGAAAGCCTAGTGTGCTCTCCCAGAAGTGACATTAGCCACTTCTCTTGCCTGTCACACAGGCTTATCCCTCAGGCCATCTGGGTAGAGAGCAACTAAAGGAATTACTGTGATAAGACACAGATAATTAACAGTAAGAGCAAGATTTGTGGGAAAGCACTGCTCCCTTGAGATGGTTTTAGCCTCTCTGCAGAGGGCTGCTGCTCTTTGAACTAATCCTGTTTGTGAGACGAAGCTCTACAAGATGCAGTGAGAGCCCTGGTCACTTGACAGGAGACGGATAAGAGCACCACGTGCTTCTCTCAAAGAGCATTTATTCTCTGAAGTCCACCTGGTTCAGGTGTTCAGCAAACAGAAACTTTTGTACAGCATGGTTACATTAAGGTTATTTTGACTGGAAAAGGTGCATGGACAAAGTGTGTACCTAATACAGGTATTGACAATCAAAGGAGGGGAGGCTTGAATCAGTTTCCAAGTTCAAATTGAAGACCACTTACTATGTTCTGCTGATTCCAGCTCCTATTTTAACAGCCAACAGAAACCTTGTCATCAAAGCTGGAACAGAGTGAACTTGGCGCAGCGTCATGTCTGTGAAGCCAGCTGGGGGCCCAGGGCATGTACTTGGCACAGCTGGGCTCCTGCTCTGCCATCCCACTCCAGCAGGGCTGCTGCAACAAGATCAGCCTGGGACCACTCTCCCTGATACCAGGACCTGCACCAGAGACTGCTGCATGCTGAAGATGGTTAATGCAAGCAGTGAATATTGATCTTGAGCACAGAAATCATGTGGTTGCTACAGCAACTGCTATTTCATATGGCACATCTTCTGGAGAGGTCAAAGACACCCTTCTCAAGGAGATGATCTCTACAACTACCTGGAAGGAGGCTGTCATAAGGTGGGGATTGACCTCCCCAGTAACAAGAAATAGGACAAGAGGAGATGGCCTCAAGTTTTGCCAGGAGATGTTAGAAAAGTTTCATTCACTGAAAAGGTGGCCAAGCATTGGAATAGGCAGCCCAGAGAAGTGGTTGAGTCACCTTGCCTGGAGGTATTGAAAGGACAAGCAGACGCAGCATTTTGGTTTGTGATTGACTTGGCAGTGCTGGATAGCAGTTGGACTTGATGATCTTAAAGGTCTTTTCCAAGCTAAATGGTTGTATGATTCTGTGCACTCAAAAAAAGAAGGCAGCTGTTTTCCATTACCCTTGAGTGAGACTTGTCTCTTGCAAAACTCATTCCTGGCTGACAAACTAACAGGCAAAGAGTACTCCCACTGTTTCTGGAATTCCTCTACTTGTTGGCCAGACTATCACATAAAACTTGGTTGGGAAAACAAGGAAATACTGTGTTTCAAACAGGTTAGGCCTTTAATTTAAAACTATTCTCTGCTCCTTTACTTCCCCTTATAACATTGCCAAGCGAATGGAAATTTGAGTTCTGAGAGCAGAATTCAGTTCACAGTAAATAAGAAAGCAGCCTTTCAAGAACAGCTTGCACTTGGTAAGGGGTAGATAGACACTGGCTGCTTGCCCAGAGGTCCTTTTGCCTTAAGAGGGACAGAGAATGGGAGAGAAGGCCACAGTGAACCTTTACTGCTAATTAATTACATAAGGGTGAGGAAGATGAAAAGTTATACACTACCATAGGATAGGGAAAACATGGGTTTTGAATTCCAAATGCAGTTCCAATAATTCTTCATACACTGTAGATGTGCAGAAAGATTTCATATCCATGAAGACTCATTTACAGCAAAATCATAACAGGGTGGTAAATCTGTTGCACTTGAGACATGGATTTACAGATCTGGGTGGTTACCACCTTCAGTGAGCTATTCATTTGAATCCCTGTCTGCTAAGGAAACTACGTGTTTTTCCTTGGAGCCATTTGAGTTGTTATACTTTCTACCTTGCCAATCATCCATTGCAAATAAATAAAAAACATTCCAGGCCCACTTCCATTTCCAGACCATCAAGAATTAAGACCCCTCCAGTCTGTGTTATGCAGTGGTCTGATAAGTACTGAAGAGAGTAGGGCGTAGCATTAACATCAGATGTTGAGGCAGAAAGAATGGTTAAAAATAAATCAATGCGCCATTGTGGTGTTACATGTCAGAATTAGATGAGGAAGTTTTAGTTTTCAAGGTTTAGAAGGTGATGGAAAATCTACTTTTTCAGCTGTGTCCAGCTTACCAGTTGTGAATACACAATTCCACCTTCCAGCTTCATAAGGACATAGGGAGATGGCAAAGGAGGTTTATTATTACAGAGTAGGTGTATGAAAGGTGATATGGGTAGAGAATGAATAGCTGGATTTTTCCATTCCAACAGGCTTCCTTGCTGCTCAGGAAGGCAGAATAGGTTAAACCTATCAGTAATTTTGAAGCCATGGAGGATAATATTTTCTTCAAAAAAAATATTTTCCTTTATTGAAAGACTTAGGTCCTGTATGTATGGTACCCCTGATCATGGGTGACCCTTACTGTTAGCTGTGCTTTTGAATTAAATTCCACCTGCACACTTGGAAAACACTTTTATGGCCAATGTCTAAGTTATTTACATGTATATCTACTGCAGTTCTTTAAGGGCGCACAACAAATGTAGGACTCTATGGCGGTAAAAGCCATCCCCATATGTTAATTAAGAGCAAATAAAACACAGATATTCACAATACAAATAAGGCACCAGCAGAATAGAGTCTGCCTAGTATTTTCTCTCTTAATGGGAGAAACTACAAACAGATGAGATACAAAGAGTGGGCAAAAAGAAAAAAAAGAAAACATTGCATATGCATTTGGTTCAATATGATATAATACTGAACAATTAATGTCAAATTAAGTAGACTAAATGGTTTATTAATTACCAAATAGATAATTTATTACTCTTGATTCATTCATCTACATAATGTGTTATTATATATCAATAAAACATTTTCTGTTGATTATATACTTCATGTATTCATCATACCAACATTTTTCTAAGTGTTGTACATTATTTATGTAATGTATCACTAATTACTGCAACACCAATTTTTCGTCTTTTCAGCAGCCTCTTCAACTCATTTGTGTCAGATCTTGCCAAACTAATTAGGATGCTGTGAATCCCATTATTTGACTACATTTAGATTTTACTTTGCATGAAAAAAAAGAGATTGCCCTGCTTCTTAAACAGTTACTAACAAGTGTAATTTCCAGCTTTTTCAGTGCTGTCTAATGCACACTATTCAAGTGCTGGCAAAGTGCAATAAACAAAGTGTTAATAATTACCTGTAAAAAGGGTTACTGGCTGATGCAAACAGAACATAACACATATTTCTTAACTTTATCACACATTTATCACACATTATTACTTGGTAATTATTAATGAGCTTACCTTAAACACCAGTTCTCCTATCAGGCCATTCCATGACCCATCATCCTGAGGACTCCCGTACTTGTGATCTGGTGCTACATAAATTTCGTATTTAAAGCCGAGGTAAGTGGCCAAGGCTTCCAACACATCTATTGAGAAGCCCTGATACTTCTTTGGTTTTCCCAGAACATTTTCAGACACCATGACAAAGGGCTCTTCCTAAACAAAAAAAACAGAAGAGGAATCTGTTAATAAAGCAATTATATGCCATGTTTGGGTGCTAGAGGTTTTTTTTAATTAAAGGAGGAACTATTAAAATATTATTTATACAAAACTTTCCTAAAACACATTATTAGCAGCTCCCCTTACATTCTGTAAAATGGTATTATTTTTTTTGTATTTTTTTTTGTTTTGGATTTCCTTCAACAGAGAAATTATATTTTCTAGTATATATTTCAGAAGTAGATCTTCTACTGTAACATTTCAACTGAAATGCTTTTTAATAATGCCTGCTGACCACACTCATGGTCAGCAAGACTTAGATATACACTCAATGTCTGGCCATAAATATGGAAGATTCTTCAGCACTGCCATTTTCCTGGGCACACACTGTGTGTAATACAGCCATTAATTCATGTTGCAAGGAAAGAAAAACATGGCAAAACTGAAACATGTATTGCTGTTGTCCTTCTACTGTAACTGAATATAGGCCAGTTAAATTTAAATAGGTCTATCCAAAGAAAAGACATTTGATTAATTTAGGGACAATCAATTTTAGGACTTAAGGCTGTCTATAAGAATGATTGGTGAATATTCATCTAAAAGGTGACTGGTGAATATTCATCTAAAAGATGACTGCCATGAAGGATACAAATAGATACCAAAAGCTGATACTGAAAGGTCAGATTTTCAAGCATCATGCTTTTCTTACTTTTCTAAAGACCTGAAATAGTTTTCTCTATTTTGTTATTAAATTGCCTCTGCTATGTTACTGTTCCTGTTGTGCAAAGAATTTCTAGATATCCCTTCACTTTTTTTCAAAAAAAAGATACATAAAACAGATCATACTTCTAAGGAAAATACATATATATATATTTGCCATAGACAGATTTCACTTAGGTTTGTTCTTTACTCTCTCTGAAAATACCTGTCTGATCTAAGTACAGCACAGTATTAAATCATCCCCAAAAGCACTAAGGTGCTGTAACACATAGGTAGTTTTTTAAATATGCTACATGTCTTTCTTTTAATTCATTGCATAGTGCTGTAATTTTGTATAACAAATTCTGTTAACAGAAACATCTGTTCTGAGGGGAAAAGTTTTGACTTGTCATGGCTTAGCCAGCACAAGTCCATGAGACAACTTTGTTCTGGTCTGCAAAACTGACAAGCAGATGGAGGAAAAGAAAATTGATTTTTTGCAGTGTTTGTGGCCTAAACTTGAATTGTATCTACAGTGGCATTTTTGTTGGTATATAAAATATTCCTTTATTATTCTACTACTTATATCTGTAAATTACTTTGAAGCCAGAGTATTTTTACCGTTTTTTCACTAATCCTATACCTCACTAATATTTTTAGCTTGCTGGAATGTCCTTCTGTATGAACAGATGTCAGTGAATTGCAGGCAGGATGTTCTTGAAATAAGAAAGCATCATTTGTAAATGCTTGAGTAAGTATTCTCAAGGACAGCCACATGCTGATGATGCTGCCAAAGAAGAAAGAATGAACCAGACTGCACTGACAGGATGTTTTTTTTTTGACTCCAGGAAAACACCCAAACTCCAAACTCAAACCAAATAGAAAACAAACCAAACAACCCCACCCCTGACCAAAAAAAAAAAGTTAAGGGTGAACTGTCTAAAGTTATTACTTCTAGTTGTCAGACAGAATTTCTTTCTTCCATATTATCCAAGATCAGTGAAATTGACTAAAAGTGGAGGAGAGAAAGTAAAATGAACTTTAAAAGTAGCTTTCCAGTACCCAGTGTCCATGAACATTGAAGAAAATGAGACAAATTTGATGAAAATCTCTCTTAAATGAGAGCACAAAGTGCATTCAGCTTTGCTGATCACCTGAATGATAGATTCCACAGAATATAGACTCAAAATTACCAGAAAGAAATGTTTCTGCAACAAATAAAAATGGTAGTTTATCAATCTAAACACACTATGCACAAAATTCTAAAGAACTATGTGTACAAAGGATGTTTTAGAAGTTGATAATTTTCATATTAGAAAGGATTAATTTTTATCACTAAATTATTTAGAAAATAGTTGCTCATAAACTGATTTTCTATCTATTGCTCATTGTAGTGATTTAATATGCCATTTAAAACACAGTTTGTCACAACTAATATCCATATTAGGACTTAACAGTCCTTTATTAAGCAATGTAATATTGTTTGCTGTTGAGAGATTTACAAAAACCCCCAATGTTCAGTGTCCTATATATATGTAATGAAAGACAAATAGTCAATCAGATTTATGCAAAGCAACTAACATTTTGCAATTGTTGTTGAAGTCCGGAGCAGCAAACCATTAAATTATATTCTGAAGAAAACAAAACCAATCTACTGCCATGATGCATTTTGTGCAATTGTTTACATTTCTGAGAATGCATGGAAAGAGGACAAAAATATTTGTCTTGATATTTTCCCCTCATAAATGCTGCAGCCTGAAACTCTGAAACTATGCCAGTTTTTGGGTTTTTTTCCACTGGGAGGGTGCTATGGGAGCTATGGAAAGGTGCATAAATTCCTACAATATGGATGTTAAAATGACTGTCTCCATCCTTGACAAAGTTGAAATTGAAGGAAGAAAATAAAGCACGGAAAAACAATGAGGACAATGATGAGCTCGTAGAAAGTAGGTGTGAAAATCTGATGAGGTAATTGATGATTCTGGAGGTAGAAAAAATTCACCTGGATGATGAAGATTCCATTCAACACCAATACATTTAGGAAAATCCTGGTACCCTTTTTCTTCAAAGCAAGTGTTAATTCGGACTATGCAAGAAGGTCTTTATCAGAGAATACATACAATTGTCAGCCTTGGAGAGGCTCAAAACTCCCACGGACACCATTCCAACAACCTGCTCTAACATTTACATGGTGCACACAGCTGCCACCCTTCTAACCTAAATTGTCCCAGAATACAGTGAAGTGATCCAAGGAAGGCTGCTGCTCCTGCTTCTCCTTTTCTTCATCTTGGAGACACCTCCCAAGGGGATTTATGAGCTTCTAAGGGGCAAGAGCAGACTTCACAGCCTGTAAAGCCAGGGAGGTCTGGAAAAGCAAACAAGTCACAACATTCATGACTGAGGGGAAAAATAAAAGAAAATGAATAGGTCACACACCCTTAACGTCTTTTTTTTCTAGGGTTGATAATCTGCCTCACTGAATGTCTTAGGTTGCAATGCAAGATGTAACCAAAAGGATATATTGTATTACCATCTGTTAAAACCAGGTGTGGCAGTGTCCTTTATCTCTTCCATGACCCATCCCTCATAACTCCAGGCAGAGATCTTCTGTCAATGGGCCATTGAGTCTCACTGCATGACTGATAAAATTACATCATGCCATTGTGAGATGCTCCACCCAGGGGGAGGAGCCAAGCATTCCTACCTGGATACACTCTGAGATTTAGAACAGCACAGGCAGCCTTTCTCCACTGGTTTCCCAGAGGAAGACCAGACCCTTCTCTGCCACCACTGGACCTTCAGAGGAAAACAACACCCTTCTACAGGATCACTGCTTCGACAGAACCACACCTGTCACTCCAGGACGACTGCAGCCACCACTTAATCGGACTGCTACCAACACCCTGCCCAAAAGGGTGTCAGGTTGTATTCTGACTCTGTCAGTGGTTTTTGTATTTCTGTGTTTTATTTTAATTTTCCTATTAAGATGTAGTCTGGGGGTTTTTTTATACATACTAGTAAAGAACTGTTATTCCTACTCCCAAATCTTTGCCTGAGAGCCCCTTAATTTCAAGCTTGTAATAATTCAGAGGGAGAGGGTTTACATTTTCCATTCCAAGGGGGGCTCCTGAATTCCTTAGCAGACACCTGTCTTTCGAACCAAGACACTGAACCGCATAGGCATCCAGTATATTTAGGGAATGGCTTTTCATCCAACCAAAATGGAGATCCTTTAAGAGAGGGGCTATTTTCATTCAACTTCACCTTCAACATGCTCCCTTGTCAACTGAATGCAGTACTACTAAGCCTGTGACAAGGGCTCCTTCTCAAAATAGCTCCACAGTTATCACTGCCTGGTTTCTTCTTGGGATCAAAGCTGTGCTGTCCTGACCCAAATGAGGATGGGTTTAAGACTTGATGGATTTTACACAGGACTGTGGATTAACTGTGGTGGACAGCTAAGCACCACACAGCTAAAACCACCTGCAGCAAAATGAAAATCAGCAGCAAACAGGTAAGGGTTATATTGGGTGAAGCTGTGCATATTGTTTTTTACGGCCGTAGAAGACAAAGTCTGGTTTCAGAAGTGATTATGTCCCCCAAGCAAGAGAAACCACAAAATGCTAGACTGGCACAGCTTAGGAAGGATAAAGGTGAACCCAAGATTAAGGCAACACGGCATAAAAAAGGGAAAGCATTGTGAAGATGACATGATAGTACAAGTACTTTGGGAAAGTAGATCAAGAAAATGTTTGTCTCCATTCATTTCCCTATTATCACGTGTTTTAAAGAAGCCACAAATTAAGACTGATAGATGTTAACAATATGCTACATATTAAGACTGATATAATTTAACATTCCCAGCATCCCTGGAAACCGGTAAGAGATGGCATAGCATAGTCTGTGGATCCTAGCCATGTCTCCTCCTGGCTACTGCAAAAATTAACCATGTCCTACCCAGAACCAGGACAATTTGCTAAATGCTTCAAGAGTCTAAGACTTAAAAGTATAAAATGCACTTCTTATTTACTCTGATGAAATTCCCAAACATACCAATAATTTGGATAAAATATAAGGCTTGAAGTAATAATTTTATATTCTTTACTAAACCCCCTAATCAAGTTAAAAATAGGAAAGGAGAGAAAAGCTGTTGGGCACAGAAGACCTTCACGCTTGAAAACAGAAGGAACAATACTCAAGCTAAACAGCAGAAAAGAACAATTAGGCTGAGTTTAACTTGGTTGTGTTAATTAATTAGACAATCAAAGAGAAACATCTGTTTGTAGCTGTGCTACAGA